AAAGAAGGCAATTCATTCTCTCTGAATGTTTCCAAAGTTCTTGACTTTATTTATGCCACACTGCAAGGGAATAAGTTTTGTCCCATGGAATGAGGACGAAGGGGGAAGGAAATCAGAATGAGAAGGATTAAGTAGGATCATACCATTATCTTAATTGGTCTCAGCCCATCACAATCCATGGCCCTTAATCTTGGCTGCTTTGATGATGTTTAACAGTTCGCTCATTGGGGTAATGTTGTGTACATGTGGTTGCCATTCACAAGTTGGATTACATCTTGTCCAGTAAGCAGCGAGGGAACTGTGCCACTAAGTATGATGCAATATATTCGGATGATGTGCCTGTCATGGTGGAATATCTGGGAGTGTGTATAAGATGTGAGATGCAAGTGTGAGGCTTGCAACTGTGTAACATATGTGAAGCTGAGGACAAAGTATGCATGTGAAGTTGTTTGTAGAAATTCTTACTAGGTGCGTTAAGGGATGGGCAATCCATTGGACAATTTACAAAGCTCGTATGAGATAGTTCGCTTTTTCGAAATAAATTTTTTAAAGTGATCTTGCAGAACAGCAGACAATGAGAATGGTGAATGGCATGGAAGGAAAATCAATTATTATTTTGAATCTGAGTAATGATAGTGCTTTATTGGAGAATGTAATATACTGTTATAAAGTATGTCCTTGTGCCATTCACTCTATCATTTATACACAATAATATACAACCCCATGACACACTATAAGGTTGTTTCAGAACTCCAAAGCCCTTAAACAACAAGTCCCCTAGTAAGCCTGCTAACAGGGTGACCAACTGTCCTGGATTTTCCAGGACGATCCTATATTTAGGATCCATGTCCATGGCACAGAATATCTCTTCCTGTTGGTCCTTTTACCTCATGCTTCAATATTTGTGCATCTGCTGTCTTTTCAAGGATCTGCCCTGACAGCTCTAGCAGGAGCCCAGCCAGCTGAATGTTCAAATGTCTCCTAATTTAATATCTAAGGTATTCTGACAGAATTTTATGAGGCTATTTCACTTGTATTGATTTGTGGTGGAAATTATAATTCATTTAATAAAACAAAATATTATATGCAGTTTAGACCTCACCACCAGCTGGATTGTCCTGAATGAATTATTTAGAACATAGGATATAGAATAGAACAGTACGGCACAGCACAGGAACAGGCCCTTTGATCTACCATGTCTGTGCCGACTGTGATGCCATTCTAAAATAATCCCATCTGCCTGCACATGGCCCTTATTCCTCTAGTCCCTGCCTGTTCATGTGCCTGTCTGAATGCCTCTTAAGTGTTGCTGTTGTATCTGCTTCTACCACCTCCCCTGGCAATGCATTCCAGATACCTACCACTGTAAAAAATCTTGCCTTGCACATCTCACCTTAAACTTCTGCTCCTAGTATTTGACATTTATATGCTGTGAAAAAGACTCTAACTATCCACCCTATCAATGCCTTTCATGATTTTATATACTTCTTTTAGATCATCTCTCAGTCTCCTACGGTCCAGTGGAAACAATCCAAGCTTATCCAGCCTCTCCTTAAAGCTAATACACTCCAATCCAGGCAATATCATGATAAACATCTTTTGCACCCTCTGCAAAGCCTCCACATCCTTCCTATAGTGTGGCGACCAAAACTGCACACAAAACCTCAAATGAGACTGAACTAAGATTTTAATACAACTGCAACATGACTTGCCAACTTTTATACTCAGTGCTCTGATCGAAGAAAGCAAACATTCCATACACCTTCTCTACCACCTTATCGTACTTCTGTTGCCAATTTCTAAGCTATAGACGTACACTCCAAGATCCCTCCATGTATCAGTGCTCCTAAGGGTCCTGTCATTTACCATACCTTTTTCTTGCATTTGACCTCCCAAATGCATCACCTCACTTTTCCAGATTAAATGCCATCTGCCATTTCTCTGCCCTACTTTTCACCTGATCTGTATTCTCCTGTGATAACCTTCCTCGCTATCCACAACTCCAACAACTTTTGTGTCATCCAAACTTACTAATCATACCACCTACATTTTCATCCAAATTAAATTTATCGATATGACAAAACAAAAGAAGTCTCAGCGCTGATCCTCACAGATCTCCAGTGAGAAAAACATGCCTCCACAACTACCCACTATCTTCTATGACCAAGCCAATTTCATATCCAACTTACAAATTCACCGTAGATCTCATGTGACTTAATCTTCTGGACCAGCCTACTATGAGGGACCTTGTCAAATGTTTTAATAAAGTCCATGTCGACAACATCCACTGCCCTACCCTCAATCATCTTCATCACTTCCTCAAAAAACTCAATTTGAGAGACAAGACCTCCCCCGCATAAAACCATGCTGACTAATAAGTCCTCTCTCTTTCAAATGCAAGTAAATGCAATGGCCTAATGGTATTATCGCTTGACTATTCATACAGAATCTCAGCTAATGTTCTGGACATCTGAGTTCAAAACTGATGGTGGAATTTGAATTATATAAAAAAAAAGGTTATCTGAAATTAAGAGTCTACTGATGACCATGATTCCATTGTTGATTATCAGAAAAACTCATTCGGTTCACTAATGTCCTTCAAGGAAAGGAACCTGCCATCCTCACCTTTTCTGGCCTACATGTAATTCCAGAGCCACAGCAATGTGGTTGGCTCTCAATCGCCCTCTGAAATGGCCTAGCAAGCTACTCAGTTTAAGGGCAGCTAGGGGCAGCCAATAAATACTGGCTGCCAGCAATGCCCTACAAGTGAATAAACAAAAACTGTCTCTAAGAAGCTTCTCCAGGATAGGAAGGAGGCCTAGGAAAGCCACTCAATTCATCAACAGTTACAGCCATTGGCCTTAATTACACCTTGAGAATTCCTGCAGGGATCTACACCTCAACTCCAAGGTGGACCCTGTTATAACCTATATATTATAGCCAGAATTTCAATTACCGAAAATAGGGTATTGCTTAGCCCTTCATTAGATACTTGCGGAAGAAAGCATTACTTAAAATGCCAGGTTTGCAATGGTAGAATACAAGAAAGTATTGTAAGCAGAAACAAGTGCAATAAAATGTCCTGGCTCAAATGTTGTACTTGAATCAGTCACTCATCTGCAGCAGATTGTCAGATTCTCTGAAGGCATGTAAAACCCTCTCAAAGACTGTATGTAGAACATTAAGGCTCTGAAATTGATAATGGTCCTGGAATGCTGGTGGGGCCCTGGAGCTGTGAGCCTGTTTGAATATTACTGTTGCAAATACATTAAAGGGATCTACAAGAAGTGGATTGCACTTAGAATCTGCTAGCTTCAATTATGTTAAAAAAAAATCAGAGTCAGAGGCTAGGAATTCTGAGATGAGTAGTCCAACTCCTGATTTGACGCAGTCTGCCATCTACAAGGCACAATTCAGGAGTGTTATGGAATACTTTGCACTTGTCTGGATGATTGTAGCTCCAGTAACATTAAAGTTCAACACCATCGAGGGAAAAGCAGTCTGCTAAATCAGCACCACATTGACCAACTTAAACATTCACTCTCTCCTACCGTTGACGCACAGTGGCAGCCATGTGTACTAGATACAAAATATACTGAGGCAACTCACCAAAGTTCCTTCATTAGGACCTTGCATATCCATGACCTCTAACAATTACAGAAGTAAACACATGGGAGCAAACCTGCATATACCTGTACAAGTCACACACACGAAGACATTCCTTCACTGTTGCTGGTTGAAAATCTCGGAACTCCCTTTCTCACAGCACTGTTAGCTTACCGATACAGATGGATTGCAGTTGTTCCAGAAGGCAGCTCAACACCACCCTCTCAAAAGGTGATTGGGAATGTGCAATAAATGCTGGTCTTGCTAGTCACACCCATATCTACTGAGTTCCAGAGATGAGGTGAGAGTGACAACACTTGACATCATGGCCACGTTTGACTGACTGTGGCATCAAGTAGCCACAGCAAAACTGGAGTCATTGGGAAGCAAGAGAAAACTCTGTGCTGGATGGAGTCATACCTGGCACATAGCAAGATGGCTGTGCTGGTTGGACGTCAGTCATTTCAGTTTCAGGACATCTCTGCAGGAGTACCTCACAGTGTCCTAGGCCCAACCATTTTCAATTGCTTCATCAATGATCTTTTCTCCATCCTAAGGTCAGAAGTGGGAATACTTGCCGATGACTGCACAATGTTCAGCACCATTTGCAACTCCTCGCGTGGAAGCAATCTACGTCCAAATTCAGCAAATACTGGATGATATCCAGGTTAGGGCTGAAAGTGGTAAGGAACATTTGCAAAATACAAATGCTAGGCAATGACCATCTTCATTAAGAGACAATCTAACTGCAGTCCCTCAACACTCAATGGTATTACTGTCACTGAATTCTCCACTTTCAACATCCTGGCTGTTATCATTGACCAGAAACTGAACTGGACTCGCCACATAAATACTACCAAAGTGACTACCAAAGCAGATCAGAGGCTAAGAATCCTGAAGTGAGTAACTCACCTCCTGACTCCCCAAAGCTTATCCACCTCTACAAGGCACAAGTCAGGACTGTGATGGAACACTCCCCACCTACCTGGCTGAGTCTAGGTTCAATAACATTCAAGAACTTGACACCATCCACGACAACACAGCCAACTGGATTGGCACCATATCCACAAACATTCAGTCACTCCACTGCTCAGTAGAAATAATGTATACTTTCCAGAAGACGCACCACGATAGTTCACCAAATATCCTTAGACAGCATCTTCCAAACCCACAGCTAGTTCTGTTTAGAAGGACAAGGCAGCGGATACATGGGAACACCACTACCTGCAAATTTCTTTCTAAGCTACACACCAACTTGACTTGGAAATATGTCGCTTTCTGTCAATGTTGCTGGGTCATAGTCCTGCAATACCCTCCCTAAAGGCATTGTGGGTCAACCTACAGCACATGGACGGCAATCGTTCAAGAAGGCATCTCACTACCACCTGCTCAAGCATAACTAGGGACGGCAATAAATGTTGGACCAGCCAGCAACGGCCACATCCCATAAGTGAATAGTAAAATGTTAGGGATGGAATGAGAAACAAAGGGAAAAACAGCAGTTGAAAGGTAATGATCGAAAAGTATGAGAAACATCAAGGGGTAAATATGAGTCAGAATTGGGGAGGAAATCAAAGATGAATAGTTTATCCAGCTTGTGTCTTCAAGATATTGAAATAGTGCAAAGAATCATAATGTGGATTTAGATGAAATTGCACAGTAGTTCGACCCAGAATGAAAGAAGGCCAGCAATTCAGAAGGCGAAATGGGAAAGTACCATTGATAAATTGAATGAGAAGGTAGAGTCAATTTAGAGGGTGGATAAGAAAGGTAAATAGTTGTAGTTATAGCTGGGATGTATGTGAGGTGAATTCGAAGGCAAGGCAAAATTGGAGACTGTGGGGGGAAGATACGGAAGAGAGAGAGATAGAAGCCCAGTTTAGAGTTTTAGAGATTGGAGAAAATATAGAAGCTTTAAAAGCCTGGAACAAAGAAGAAGGTAGATCAAGGTTGGAGAATGGTGAGAGGGACAGGTATAGCATAGTACAAGATAAGATATGATAATTTATTGCTGATATTTTAACTTTTATGACCTGCCAGAATGGATGGCAGAGTATTGGGAGCTGTGGAGGGAAATGGTCGCATCGTTCATCTTTCTTGTAAAAATGTATGACCGGAGAGGCAAAAATCCTATCATCGCTGCTACCTTCAGGATTACAGAAGCTGCTGTCATATTTAAACCCCAACCGTGTACCAATGCCAACATTGCTGGAGGCATGGGAAAATTCCACCCCTTTACAAGAAAATTCTTTATAATTATGCATTTTGAACTCTTAGCCTGAATTGTGCATATCAATGAGAACTCTCCATCATTAGGTGCAGGAAATAGTATTCATGCAGTTTATACTGCCCTTGCCAGTTGGCTGCTCTGTTTTTGGCTCTAGACTACTGATGAAAGAGAAATTTCTTGAATTCCCACCAAATCTATTGCTGGCTGTGAAGAGAGTCTCCGAAAAAGATTAAGTGGCAGGGCTTCTGATCAAAATACTCTTCCCCTCCCACATGTGGCTTGCAACTTCTGTCCGACTTTTCCACCCTATTGGCTGCTTGCTGGCTTGGCCATCAATGCCAATATAGAGTCACAAGCTGAAAGTAGACCAATATGTTACTGGCCTTTGGATCAGAAACATTACTGTAAAATCTTCTCACTAACTTGTTAACGATAGATTTGTCAAAAAGAAATATTCCAAGATGGCGGCAGAGTAGGACTCTTCAGCCGGAGCTCGCCTGCTCTGTCCATTTCTTTTCCTTTTTTCTCTTTTGTGTTCTTTTTACTTTTCTTCTCGGTGATGTTCCGAACTCCTAGCCTCAGTGCAAACTCGGACTCCTGGCCTCAGTGCGGACTCGGACTCCTGGCCTCAGCGCGGACCTGGCATGGCAACATCTTAGCTCGGTATGGCAGCCTCTTGGCCCGTCATGGCTGTCTGCTGGCGCAGCGTGGCGGTCTCTTTGTGGCCTGGTATGGCAGCCTTCTAGCCTGGTGTGGCTTCTGCATGGACTTCCAGCATCAATATGATTCCAGAGCAGTCTCCTGGCCTCAAGAGCCTCAAGGTGAAGCCCAGTGCTGTCTGGAGTCAAGGCCTGGTGCAACTAGTGGCTAAGTGCTGGCATGAACAGGAAGGACTGTTATTCTGAACTTTTTATTTCTTTATTTTTCCAATTTATTCCTATGATCTGTAAGGCTGCACTTTTTAACTTCTTTATTTTTCTATTTCTTTCCCCTAAGCATTCATGCTTAAGAATTTTTGCCAACGTACCTTTGTACCCAAGATGGCGCCTTAAGTGGCAACTTGTAAATTTTTCACTATACTGATTTGAGCACTTGTGACAATAAAGCTAATTCTAATTCTAATAAAGACTACACTTCAGAAGCACTTCACTGGTTGAACAATGCTTTGCAATAACTTAAGATTGCAAAAATTCCTTTATAAGAGCAACTTTTTCTTTCTGAATTGACAGGCTATTAGGGAAATTATTAATAAGCACTGAGTTTTAGCTTACAATGTGATCTCATTACTACAAAATATGTATAAGAAATTGTCATTAAGATTTCTTGTTATGAAACCAATAAGAATTTTAATTTTAATTAAAGTCGTTATAATTTGCAATGTTTTTTGCATGTCCAGATATGCACTCTACTAGTTATTGGATTACTTCCACAAACCTCTTCTGTCAAGAGATTCCCCAGCTCATTTTAGTTTTGTTTGGTAAGGGTACGGAATTGTTATTGTTCAAGAGCCTAATGTACAATAGGGCATTTATGACTTAATTAATATTACAGTATTGTCATGGGGAAGGACCAACAATGTGTCTTAAAAAGATGAGCATTAATGTACTCAATTTTGGAACATGTTTTGCTTAAGTTTTTTTATTGTCCTTAAGGAAATACTTATAATTTATAACCATTTGTTTTCTTTTGTCTTTTAAGAGTAAATAAGAGTCCGTATTTAAAGTATTGTTTACACTTTACCACATACTGTACCAGTTAAACAGGATCTGTGGAGAAAACGTTCCAGGGTCAAATGTACAGGGATAATCGTGGCACAATAAGATTGTTAAAAAGCACAAAAAATTGGATCACTCATTTATATGTAAAAAATGAAGCTAAGATTCCAAAGATACAGAATACCTAGTTGATGTTATGATTTGCAACCTATTACTAATTGACACATTTGTCAAAGTGATGGCCAAGATAGAATAAAAGTTTCACTTCGGCATTACATAATATCAGTCTAGTCAATGGTCACTGGTGTTCAGAAAAAAAAACATCAAACAGTTTGAATGCTATCTCATGATTTAGTAAACTTATTCAATGAACACCAAAGTCACACAGAACATGAAGGTCACAAGTTCAAACTGTGGTTTATGCTGAGTCATTTGTTCTATACTGGCTAATTGGAGGTTGCTACTATTGGTTTGAGAGCTCAGGAGAAGAGCAGGGAATAATCAATCATTATTTACATCCCTGATTGCAATTCAGTAATCTGTACAGGAATTGCCTATGTAGATGTTGTATATGCACATAATTTACTTAAATGTTTCATCACCACTGTTAACCAACCTACAATATTCAATGATGATGTTCATTGTGAAAACAATTAGTATTAATGTTGTTGAACAAAACAGTACTTGAGATACAAAATAGGAATATTTAAGGTTTTTTCTTGTATTCATTTGAATCATCATCTTTTTAGTAGGGGTCCAAGATTGCATTCAAAATCCACTTAAACAAATCATTTCTAGCAAATCAAGATAAAGTTATATTTATTAATTAAACGTGATTTGTGGAAAATATCAGTACTCATCATTTCAGCAAAGTCGTAAGAGTATGTCGCAATATATTTATTGAGGAATGCAAAAACTTTTAACAGATGCGCACATAAAGGCCAAATCCAACCCACAAGAGTCACATTGCTGTTGCCCTACTGAGTTCATATTAAAACCAGGTTACCAATATACATTCGTGTCATGGCCACATCAGCTAGAGGTAGTAAAAGTTGTAAAATGTATCATTAAAACAGCTGTGTTGGGATTTTAAGGAGATGATGGAAAACAGAGTCAGATAGCCAAAAATATTTGTTGATAATTCATCACTGTGCAGCCTTTGGCTGGGAATTAATTTGCATTACAGGTCCCTTGCCCACCATTTGGAGAATCTTGGAAACCATATGTTGCTTCCATGGGAGAAGCCTAATGAAATTAAGTGAACATCAAGCACTTATTAAACATAGAAACATAGAAAATAGGAGCAAGAGTATACCATTCAGCCCTTTGAGCCTGCTCTGCCTTTCATTTAATCATGCTTGATCATCCAACTCTATAGCCTGTTCCTGCTTCTCACCCATATCCCTTGTTCCCTTTTGCCCAAATGCTATATCCAACTCCTTCTTGAAATCATACAATATTTTGGCTTCGACTGCTTTCTGTGGCAAGCTCACCGCTGTCTAGGTAAAGAACATTTTCCTCATCTCAATTGAAATGGTTCACCCGTGTCTTTAGACTATGACTGTAATTGGTGAGCGTTGAGCATTCCTAGGACTTAGAATCTCAGTGAGGAAATCACCACCCTTTTACCTGGTGAGTTGCTGGCCGATTGAATGCTGACAAGTCTCCATTACAAGCAGCACCATTGGGAACAGTCACTTCATTCTCTAAAGACTTCACTAGGCATTGCTATTGAATCCCTAGACACTAGTCAGCACAATGGACAAACAGGGAGATGTTGTGGGAAGGAATGGCAGAAGGGTTTGGAGCCACTGACAGGGGGCTGGTTTACAGTATTCTACCTTCTTTGATATTGAATTCTTCAACTGGGTGCTGAGTGCCTGACAATGAGGATTTCTCCTCACTCCATGAGGTCACAGGCAAACTCACAGGATTTGCTAAGCAACCTTCAGGAGGCACGGAAGAGTCACATGGATCCTGTTTAATCTCAGAACCGCCTTTAAATTCTGGTGAAGTCAGAGATAATTGGTGTTGAGTGGCCATTCAATGAGCCTAACCAGCACCTGTTTGTGAGCAGTTGAGTTGCAAACATTGACACCATCCCACATCTAGCTTAATTATGGAAGGTTTCCTGATGCCAGTAGAACTAAAGTGTAGCTTCCCATGCCATTTAGTGAGCCTGACTGCCATGTTTCAAGCATAATGGACTAGATTAAATTCCACCAATTATTTAGTTATTCTGATATGCTATCACGAATGTCACAAAAGAACTGTGAAATACACAAAGCAAAAGGGAAACAGTAATAAAATGTCACAATCTATATGTAAAATATTTTTATAGATAACTTACACATTCATTTCTTTTCCCACAATCTTTCCTAACTGAGGGATTAGCTTGTTCACCTTACTTTTCGGCAAAAAAGAGTCAGTTTGATGCATCTCCACTCAGCCCACTTCTGCTCTGTT